TTTTAGATATTTGCATATACTGTACCTCTTTTTGTTTGGAATGTCTCTTGTATTCTTATCATGTTTCATGTTCTCTCATATTCTTATCATACCAATTCAGCAAAATTAAACATTTAAACCCAGAGTTATAGCCTGATAAATTCAATAATGCAGAGCAAACTATGTAAAAATAACCATTTAAAGTCATGTTCTATCCTAGTTCATGATTTTCTGTTGCATAATATTAATTCTTCAGCAAAGTCTTCACTGCACAAATGAATCCAAAGCTGACTCTTACTGCTTCATAATATAATATTTCTTGTGAATGGAATGTGGATCAGCATCATTAAGCGCTCTGTTGCAACCCAACTGTCTGCAAAGGAATGTGCATTAGAGAGTTTTAAAAATAGAAAAGAAAATACAGTGAAAAGCCTATAATTCATCGAGCCAACCAAATCCATATTGATTAATCAACCAGCTCATTTAACAAGTAAAAACACAACTCTGAAAGAGACTGTCCCAATATTGACAGGGAGAGCTGCAAATGATTACCCAATTTTGTATCAATGACAGAGAGAAATCCTGACTGATTAGGGTAAAAGCATAAATAAGAACAAATCTGAAATCAGATGAACTCTGCCCTCTTACATTCATGCCCCAGTGTCCATCCAGCTGGGTGAGCATCACAGCATCAGAACATGCGATTTACAAATAGAAGGATCAAAGCTACTGGCCTGAACACACCCAGTGATGGAGCCTCAACCACCTACTGTACGTCAAAGGCCTGTGCCAGACAACTGTCACACTTTACTGTATGTCAAAAGGTGTTTCTAAATTAAGTTGGAAAAAAATAAAGAAATGATTCCTCAGAAAAGATATTACTTCCAGTTGCCTAAATGTGCTAAACACATTAGCAAGTCTACCCTCTAAAAACTAACAGGTAAAGGTTAAAGTGTTCTTCTTGAGAAATGCAATCTTTATACATCGGAGGAGGCGATGGTACAGGGATACAAAGCAATTTCATGAGACTATTTTGTCCTGTAAAACATGTGGAGTAGCTACAGTAGATGTGTTTGATGGTGAGGGATGCAGTTTGTCTTTAAATTCTTGACTCATTCGTTTTACATGTGCTACGTCACAGCATATAAACGAAGCACTGCACACCAGTCTAAGTAAGAATTCCATTAACTGTGAACTTTTACTAAACCTGAGGCCATTGGATAATTATGTGTAAGTCGTGTTCACAGCACAACTAATTGGACTCTCTGCTCTAGCTCTGCATCAATGAGGACTGTGTTAAGAATCGAAGGCATAACCAAGAAAATAATGCATTTACAACTCCAGCTGCTGCTTAAATATATATCTTGACGAAACATTTTAAATTTAAATTCCTTATTCTGCTAAGTGCAAGACATAACATCGGTAAACTATGACAGAAAAATACAGTAACTTGTATTGCAAATGTCCATTTTTCTGACACAAATGTTTGCTGTGAAGGAAAGAGACCTTCCAGAGTGAAAAAAGGAGAAAAGGAGAGAGACAAAGGTGACCTGTTGGACAAAAGGATTTCACAAAGTGCATTAACTTACATGCTTCTGTTACCACAGCTACTTAAACTCCACTGATTAGGATGATTTTACCTTTGACCACATTCTCCTCTACCTTGATAACTTGAGACTGTGTGTCACAGCATGCAAACACGGATTAAGGATTAAGCACTATTAAATTGACAAACACAGACACCAGCACAGGGGGCCTGGTGGCTCAGCAGTGAGAATTGCTGTCTTACAGCGCTGGGGCCCTGGGTTCAATCTGAGGCTCTCTGTGTGGAGATTGAATGTTCTCCCTGTATTCGTACAGTATGTGGGTTTCCTTTCACAGCCCAAAGACATGCTGAAAAGGTTATTGGGCGTTTGGAAAAATTGGGACCTGTAGCGAGTAAGTACGTGTTTGTGTCTATCTGTGCCCGGTGACGGACTGGTGTCCCATCCAGAGTGTACCTTGCCTGGTGCCCGTTGCTTGATGGGAAAGACTCCAGCTACCTTGGGTCACTGAATTGGATGAAGCGCTTAGAAAATGGACACAAGAACTTGCACATTCACAACCTATCCCATCGAACTCTATCACGGAGCAAGGAACAGTACTGGATTACAGTGGGATACCTCTATCCTTCGTTGATATTGCGTTTTTTCTGGATCTGTGTTTGTATTTTCATGTACAGTAACAGCTTTTTTCAAATATTTTTACACGTGCAATATATTGTTCATTGTTGTTCACACTTTCACGTTACAAGAAAGCACTTTTGTCTTTGGTTTTACATTATACCATTTGACGAAATTATATTTTCAATCATATGATTGTTTGTTTGGGTGTAACTGTCTCTGGTGCATCTATCTGATCAATTCAGCTGTCAAATTCCAAGGAACATTCAAGATCTTTCGGCAGGAGACGCCACTTAGCATTTTCAGTGATTTTAACTGTAGGAGCGCAGAAGACACGTCTGCATCGGTTTCGAGTTTACTAGGTTTAGTTCTAAGCTTCATTTTATTTTCACACCTGTAATACAGCACTCGCGTCTGAGAAAAGGGCTCTAACGAAGCTTTAGTGCCGCACAACGGGAGAGGCAGGCTACTGCTTGCGAGAGCGAATTCAAATAAAATCGCGGAGGAAGGCAACGCGCAATTACACTGCTTCTATATGCTGTGAGACAATAAGGCTATTTATACTTTTGAAATCGCAGTGGAAATTGATTAATAAGCGGCTTTCAAATTCTCTTACTCATTAATCGGTTTAAGGAAAGTAATGCTCTTCTGAACAGATAAGTGGACGACGTGCAGTCTCTGTCTCCATCCTTCTGCGCGCTCCGAGGAACCGGCGAGCTCCGGCTTTAACGCAGAGCGCTTCACACGGAGGCAGTCCATTCATCCGCCCATCGCTGCCGTGACAGGAACATCTCGCATTTGCTTTCTTTGCATTTACAACTAACTCCGACGCATTTCTTTTTTTTTATTATTTCACCCACTCTCTCCGGTTTTTCTTCAACAGCAACAGGACTAGGGAACATCGAGCCGCGGCGTCTGAGAGAGGCGCATTCACGTACAGTAACTGTGTGTGAAGTGGAATCCTCATTATTTTATTTCGGGTTTGCAGTAGTAGGTGATATACAGATCATAATCCTGGAGGCATTTTTGACAAATCAAAGAGAAAGAAGTGTGATTTCTTTTTTTTTTTGCGGACGAAGAGTGTTTGATGTTTTCCTACTGTATGTCTGTCCTTTCATCCATTTTTCCTTAAGCTCTTTATACCCGGAAGCTCGTGGGAGCCGGGCACGGGCAGGAGGCAGGACCACACCCTGGGCACCTGCAGGCATGGCACCAGTGGAGCCACCCAGCTGGTCTCCGGACTCCAGAGCAGCCGGAGAAAACCCACCTGCCAGCGCAGAAGTCACAGTCCAGGAGTCCCAGCTCTAGTCAGGAGCTAGCCGCCACGCCGCCCTCTTTTCCCCATTATCAACTACTGTATACAGTATATTCCCTATAATTCGGTAATACAAATATAGTATTTGTTACAGTTAAACGACTGACGAAGTATTGAATAACTGCACTTTATTTAATAACATAAGACGTGTTTATTAAATAAAGTGCTGGAAAGTAACACTGTGGTCCAATGAAAGTGCAGTTTCAAATCTCAGATCAAGCCTTTAATCACCATCAGGGTATCTGGCTGGTGGTTTTATCCAAAACGACGGACCTTGTTCCTCTGTGTACAGATGCGTAGTGCATCACGAGCGCTGCGCGGCGAGTGGCCGTGGTCCCGCTCACACCAAGCGCCTTCGCGTCAAGGATGCGATACAATAAATTAATAACGAGCCTGTAAGGTGACGTAAATCACTGCTCGTAAACATAAAGAGTGACTTTTCTCCGCGGGAGAGTGTTTGCCCGACTGTTCAACGCCAGCCGCGCTCCTCATACAGATACATGGGAAAGTTATGGCGCACAGTATTGATATTAAAAATCAGGCAAAAAGCTCTGTAAAAACTCAGGGTAGACGCGTGCCTCTTGGGGAATTTAATTTTAAAAATAAACTCCATCGTGTCAACACGAGATTGAAGGAGGGACTTCCATCTCTCCTTCGGCAAACAGAATGGTGTACCCAACTCAGCCTCCAGCAGCCACTGCCTGTAACTGGAGTGCGTTATTAAGAATCTGCCGACAAATTTCTCCGTTCTCCAGCTCACACATACTGTATATACACATATTCCACCACCACAACTCCTATACACACCCGCTTCCCCACTACTACTGTAGATTATTAACATAACAACAGCAACAACAAAAAGTTCATCATCTTAGCCTTCTTCTCGCTCATACACAGAAAACTATTTTTGGCAAGATCGCAGTACTGAATCTCTGCCATTCTTCCAGTCTTCTGTGTACTGTAGAGATTGGAGGAATAGGAGGTTTCTACACAAACCCGACCACATTTAGGACGGAGGGGGTGGAGTTGGGGGGGGGGTTACAATCGGGCTTGGACAGAACAGACCAACATGCGAAGGACACAGCAAGTCCAGCGTGCACGACCGCTCCTTCAGCGCACAAGCACCTGTCTTCTATAAACAGGTAAACGGGGTGCCATGCTTATTACACCGACCGAGCAGGACGACGAGCCAATATCACGAAACACGGGGAAAGAGATAAGAACGAAAAGGGGTTTTAACCGCAGTACAGCGGAAGTTTTCTCCCCCTCTCCCCTTTAACACCCGTTTCATGCCTTCACCAGAGAATTCACGCTGGATGCTGAACATAAGCTATTGTATCCAGATAATGGAGGATGTCCGAGGCACCGCGTTATGCGTCCGGTGTGTTTCAAATCTATTTATCTCCGAGGAACTTAACGATGGATTGACAGTAAATAACAGCAATCGCTAACCAACAAGCGTACAGTACAAAAACGCCGTCTTGTCGCACAGGGTACTGCTCCTGACTTCTCCCGCTGGCGGAAACGTGAAATGGGCAACTTACCCTTCGCAGAAGAAGCCAGCAATCCCATGTACAAGAAGAGAACCCGGCTCCAGTAGTGAACCGGCACTTCCACCCTCATTAGCGCAAAAATCCCCAGTCTGTCCAGTTTCCTCGGGCCGCTGTAAGAGCATCTACACGCAGTCCTTACCAGTCCTCTTCCCTCCGAATTCAAAGAGGCTCTCATGGCAGAAATCTGGCAGCGACGCTATCAGATGGTTTGAAAGGGAAGATTCACTTTGTATCGGCGCTGAGAAAAATCCCAGTGCATTGAGGCTCCGCTCCTGCAGCTGGAATGAACCATCTCCTGCAGATCCCGGGGTTGGGAAATCTCAAGCCAAAAGATCCCCCCCCCCCAAAAAAAAAACCAAGAAAAAGACAAGAAAGACTTATCTAGCCGAGATCAAGGCTCATATGTACTCCTCCCTTCTGGAAATCCGGGTTTTCTATTTTGTGTTTTAGGTAGGGTTAACCCGCCTTCCGCTCTGCTCTTCCTTCGAAGATGGACAGTATTCTTATTTTGATGTATTAGATGAACGAATAGGATAATCGCTACTGTTCATATCCCCGGTCTCACTCCGGTGTGGAATTATAACGCTGCTGCCAATTAAGCGCTGATCAGACGCAACTGTGAAGGAAAACCGATGCCTTTTATCGACAGTAAAGTTTTCCTCTTCTCACACATCTTGGGATTGTCTCTCAGCGGAACAATGGTTCGTTTCTTTTCCAGCTTCTCCTGGCCGTTCGTGATTACCGTATTTCACGTTTTATCGACGCTGCTGTTGAGCGCGGAGACTGCGGAGTGCGGCTTCTCCCCTCTCGCGTTCTCCCTCTCTCTCCTTCGAGTATAACCCGCCTTATTGGTGATCGTGCTTAGCCTATCATAAGGCTTCGTGTCCTGGCGCTCTGCTCGTTCACATGATACTTTTGAGATTGATAATCATACGTTTTAAATGAACGGCTGACCACGGAATGCGTTACACAGGGGGGTCCCCAGGGCCCGAGCCCGCGGGCCGAGACGCCCCCACCTGCCGGCGTGCAGCGCCGCTGAGCCCGTTACTGATCTCACTCTGAACCTTCACGGGTGTTTTTTTTATATATACTGTATATACAGTATATACACCACTCAAAAAGACAAAAGAATGTGTTAAAACCCAGACTGCTCTTGTGCACAGTACACGAAAACGATTGAAGGTATCAGTTTGAGTCCATTACGTATACCGGTTTCTGAGGGATCCACAATTATACTTTCACTTTTCCTCGCAGGTAAAAGCCCATATACAGTATGAAAAACACCTGGCCACGTCCTGTATTGGCACTATCTAACCATTGTGTTCGCCTTACGTGTGTAGAACTGAAATGTATTAATTAAATTACAGGGCAATATCTTTTATTAATATTTGACGGTTTCTGACAAGAACACGAAACCATCATCTAAAACCTGAGTATCGTCCTGGATATCTGATAACACTAAATACTGTAAGCAGTGCATGAAACTTGCAGTATTTTAGTCGGCATTTATTTTTTCATTGGAACACAAATGACCGTGTTGTCAGAATACACAGACGCATTACAATGTGAACGCGTTTACAGTGGTTTACAATTTAGAGTGAACATTATTGCTTTGTACTTGAATCATTTATCATACTCTGAATTATTCACTGACCTCGGAGCAAGAGCAAAGTGGAAATAATTTGAAAACACGCTCACGTTTTTTTTTTTAGTACAACAAAGTTTTTAAAGCAATTAATATTTAACAAGGAGAACAAAGGGAACTATAAGGTTAATACTCTCTGCTCCTCAAAATGCAGTACATTTATTCAAAACAGCGGGACCCAGTAGCTAAAGATGAAAAAAAATAATAATTAAATGTGTAAAGATGATTAAGCAGTGAGGTCACACTGTAAGCCACTGAATCACAAAACGTATTTAGCTGACATCGTACGTATTGCTTATGGAGTGAGAAAGCTTTATCGGATATACATTACACAATGCATATATACTGTACATTTTAACGGTAGCACTCAGAAAATGCCCACGTCTAGCATGTACCGTACATCACGCCCCCAAACCGCCGGACGGGCAGGAGGTAGGATTTTCGATTTTCTGCGGAGAGCAGTAGAATGTGCTTCAGCTGCACTCGCCGCTGCCTCCGGGGAGTAACAAGGACTCGAGAGTTCATCTGTTTTGCACCCGATAGATAATCAAAGTCCTTTGACTCCGAGCATTTGGGGACCCTGCTCGCTCCTGCTGCTGGTCTGGCACCCCAGCTGCACTATCGGGGTATCTCCGCTGGCTCCACCAAAGTCGGCCGAGAGGAATCGTGCCAAAGCGCAGCAGCGGTTTAACTACGGTGCTGAACCAGCCCCTACAGCTCCCATCACCGGTCACACCCCAGTTTCCTGTCGGAAATACTACAGTTGTCACTTTGGATAGACGTGGTAGTATAGATCACAATAATGCAATGCTATTCATTTGTAATACTGATATATTTGGTTAAATGAACAGTTAAGTGCGTTTAAAATGATCTGTGAAACAGTTTTCCGCTCTTCAAGGCCAGACAGCCTCTACAATTGACGCCGAACACACGCCAGTGAATTTCAGTGTCATTTGCATTTCTTCGCCGTAACAGGTAATTAGTTTCCTTACACCCCTGACGATAAAGTCATCCGGTTAATGAAATGTGTCTGTCTTTAAACATAATATTCAAATAGTGTCTACGTGCAGAGTCAAGAATTCATACTCACAAATTATGCTAAATAATGCCTAAAGTGCCCGGGCAACGCCAGTGTGGCATTAACAAGTCATTTAATTGTTTCTTCTCGTCTCCTCTCGGGACTTTGTCTGCCCCTGGCACTGCCCGCTCCAGACCTCCCACGACAGAGAGCTGACAGGTTTCTCCCTGCCGCCATCTAGAGCCTCATGCGCCCTCCGCTTGCGCTTTCTGCGCTCATGCTGTAGGTACAGGGCGAGCAGCGCTGTGACGCCTGTGAGCGTATTATTCATTGTTTAAAACTATGTTTAAACGGCTCCTCGCCATTTCTAAAGCTTTCACTTGCTGTCCGAATTTATCGCCGCACAAAGGTTGTAACCGGGTCTGTTTCGGGAGCTGGAAAGAAAGTATTGTTCTGAAGTCAATTATTTTGAATACCCTTTTCGAGTTCGTTCACTGCCCCTTCTCTGCGAATGTTGCGCTCGTTCTGCCTCGTTGGGCTTTATCCCTCTAAGATATTTTTCTTTGTCGCTTTTGAATTCCCGTGTTATATTCATTCCTATCCATCCAGATTGTTGTGTTTAAATATACCGGCTGTACATACTGAAGTACACGCGCACTTGCACGTACTGTAACCTGTTGTCGCTCAAACTTCTAATACACTTGTTGCTATGGTTTCCTTTATTGTTGTTATTATTTATAAATCACAGATCGAAGAATTAAACCCAAACATTCCATTGGTGTGGTCGGGTCTTCAGGGTGGTCAGCAGCCCAAACCAGCTTCACTAAAGACACTCGAGTTTTCAGGAAAATGTTCCCGAGAGTGGATCGCGTTAAAACCAAGCGCCAGCTGAAGAGGGCCTACGCGGCGGGTCCCTTCCCTCGATCTGTGTGGATACACGACAAAGCGCCCGAAGACGACTTGGATAAAGTCTGCTATGAAATATGGAAGAGGGTTCAGGTGGCGACGGCCGGCTCATCGGCACGGCCTACCGCTGCAGACAGGTACCCGTCAGCCGGACTGAGTCTAGCGCCGCCAACAGCGCCGGGCCGGCACCTGTGGCCGTGAACTCGGCCGGCCAGCAGGGTCGGGAGCGTGTGTCCAAGTACGGCCTTCTCGGCGCGTTACTGCGGGGTCACAGTAGATTCAAGGTTGGATTTCTGGAGAGAGAGGGCCAAGCTTTTATGCCGCACGTGAGGTTTTAATTTGAGAATAAAAAAATAAGGCGGTCAAGGCTCAAACCTTGTGATTGAGTAAGGGTCATCCTTTAAACCCCGTGTACAACTTTTATTTTATTTTTTAATAATTGATTGCAAATTCATTCATGAGCCGTCGTGCTTGAAACGGGAAAAAAGCCCCTCCTTCCAGCGGCGAGCTCAGTTCAAGCTAAGGAAAAAATAAAAAAAAAGTTCAAGCTAAGGGTTCGCCTGCAGTACAGTAGAAGCACAAACGGCGAAGCACCGGCACCAGTCAAACGCTGGAGCACACCGTGACCATTTCTCTAACCTTTCCCCCTTCTTACAAAGTTGCTAGAGCTCCGTTTCTTCCTTTCCTCAGTGGTGCCAAGGCTGCACTCGCATATTCCTGTGCTGAGAAAGGAGCACATCATTCAGAATCAAGGGACTGAAGAGAAACGCTACAGATCATAAGAGATCTGTGGAAAGACATTAACTTGGAAAGCTCATAGATACTAATTCACAGTCACTGGAAAATATGAGCTACTGTATCATAACTATAGTAATTAGAAAGTCAGTTGTTCTGAAATGTACACCTGAGAGTGGACGCCGGACTCACATCAGGCATTGCAGATGCCTACAAGGAATGGACACAACACAGGACTTCCAGCATTCAAGATAAACTGTAAAAAAAAGTCTGGTGAACTAACACCAAACTGAATCACTTATTACAGCCGTTGTTTTGCTTTATGTACAGTAATTATTGATAACAACAGCTGGAGTTTAAATCGTTTCTAAATCCTTTTCATACTGCTTGAAATTTTCTGTAGAAAGGGCAACTCGTACGTTTTTTGAAAAACGATCTCTTTTTCAGAATTGTCTTCTTCAAATTCCATTATTACAGTGTATCACAGATCTGCAGGGAAAAAAAAACTGGCCAGCTCGCTCCGAGCCTGTCGTTCAGGTGTGCGCGTGTGTTGTCATCGAGCCTGCTTGCGGGTGCTTTTCTGTTGTTTCTTGTCTCGCCTGCTGAAGCTCAGGCCCCTAATCTCCCACACAAACAGTGCCATCTGTCCCCTGGCTGCTCAGGGAATGCCACCTCTCAGGTAACTGTGCCCACGTGACTGTGCCAGCGCATCAGCTGGAGAGCTCCACAGCTCAAACACAATGTGTAACTAACAAGAAGTTGTTTCAAACTCATTCTAAGGGATATTTTCTGCCACTGGGATGAAAACTTAATTTGATCATTTATTTTGTACAGACAGATAAACTGTTATGTTTTCTTCTGCCTTTTTTTTGTCTGATGACCAATATTTACAGCTGTGCCGGTTTTTTATCCCCTCTTCTAATGGCTGCTCCATCCCTCTGGAACGCAGGGCCCCGGAGCCCACTGACTTGGTCCCGCCGGCGCCGCGGGAGCTTCCGAGCGCGACGGCAGAGCCGGCACCCCCAGCGGGCAGCCGGGACGCACAGCGAGCACGCTGGACGCACCCCGAGCCCGCCGCCGAGGGAGTGGGCTCTGTGGAGAGGAAGAGGAAGAGCATAGAGGTGTTCCTCCGGGCAGTCCTCCAGGGCAAAGAGGCCGGGAGACCAGAGCAGCTGCCGCAAGGAGCTCTGCCCGCTGGGCTCGGGAGCTCCTGCAGCAGCACGGAGGCCCCAGCTCCCGACAGCAAGGCCTCCCAGGGCCTCTCCCAGTTTCCCGGGAAGTCCTCGGAATCCGGCCTGGCACGGCCGGGGCAGGTGGAGGTGGCGGGGGGGGCCAAGCTCGCGACGGCTGTCGAGGAAAACGGCGGCTTCAGCTCAGCAGACCGCAGAGAGCATAGGGGCGGCGAGGGGGTCGGCAGAGGAGCCCCGCCCAGGGGCCCCGTCTCCTCCGGGGCTCCTCTTCAAGGCTCGGCGCAGGGCAGGGGCAGGCTGGCTCCATTGCCAGTGTTTGCCAAACTGCACGTGGCCACCGACCTGCCATGCAGACGTCTCCCTGCCAGGACAGGTAAACTATTGCTGTTCCTCTGGATGGAGCTACGTGGCACAGAAGGATCACACCTGAGGAACAGGCTCAGCAGGGGGGTGTTCCGTTATTGGGTGGTGTCATTTAAAATCACGACATAAATGACAGTGTCTAGCTTTTCATTTCTACACTACAATTCTACAAACACATAAATGTACAGTATGCTTTCTTCAAACACCTTTATACTGTATATTGTGTACTAACAGGATCTCTTCCACTTTGTCTATTTGTCTGTCATTTGCTCACAATTTACCTGCCCTGGTACCGCAGAACAGCAAAGAATCTTCACACAAGCATCCCTGCCTTGTCTCACACAGCCTGTACAATGGGTACTGTATGTCTCATTAACAGCCCAAGCAGCAGATCCCTGTGATTGTATTAATTATTAATATTAATGACACCCCATACCCGGGTAATTAAAAGGTGCTTCCGGATGCCAGACTGCAGCTGCCATGTGTTTTCAATATGGGATGCCGAGCGGGTGATTTAACTAATTAGTCTCCTGGCTTTGTGCTAAGCATGCCTTTGGCTTGAAAGATAAATGAAAGTTTTTCCTCCCCACAAGTAGTTAGTCAGAGGCTTCTAGCGTGTAAAAAAAGCATTGCAGCCTATGAGGAAAGGAGCTGTGTGCGGTGGTTGGCGGTGGAAGTGGGACAGGGTGGGGGTAACTGCCGGGGTAGCAATTCTGAAGACAAGGTGACCTTGAGACGGTTGTTGCCTTTGATGTGTTGTATTCAACAGTGGGCCACTGTGGGTGAGGATAGCAGAGTGTTGGCTTTCGTGTGTCGGGTGCGTCAGCATGAGGGTTCGTGCTCTGTGAGATGTGGAGCAGGGAGCTTGTAGCACTTTTACAGGGCACCTTGAAGCTTACAGAGATCTTAACTGGAATGACTCTCCACGTACACAGATTGGCCAGTCTGGTCATGTACATCAGTGCTGTTCACAAGTTTCAAAAGAGTGAGACAGTAGGCTGGAGAAAACTTTATCTTTTCAAAGGATATTGTAAAATGTTTAAGCGTGTTTCATACATGAATAGATATATATAGAGAAATGACAGATTGTTGTGAAGAACTAGCTTCCCTGTGATTTGATTAATTTTTCATGCCATTCTCAGGAAAGGTTTTGTTTGTCGAAGGATATTTTTAGGATTTTGTTGTGACAGCAATTTGCAATGCATGTACTGTACATATTTACATTAAATTATTTGTATGTTTTTAAACTTCAAGTTTAAGCACACAGCACCCCTTGTGTCAATGTTTGCAATACCACCATTGCATTGAGAAAAGCAAAAATAATTTTGCTGAGGTTACAAATTAAATATATTGCTCTAAGTTAAATGCATACAGATATAAATTTAACATAGCTGACTCATCTAACTGGAGGCCACAGTGCATAGTAATTTTTGGCTCAGCTGGCTTGAAAGTCAGTCCTTTCTTCCCTATTGGGAGTGGATCAGAGAACAGCCATTTCAGGATCAATGAGCGATTCGCTTAAGAACCAAAGAGATTAGAGTTCACTTAAAGCAAAGGCATTAAGTTGCTAAACCCTAGAAAAAAAGAAATTTTGGGTTTTTCACAAAACTGAATCAATATGGCTTTTCTAGAAAAGGATGCTGTGTATAATGCTGTGGGACTGAGCAGACAATCAATTCACAATAACTGTTTATTGCAGTTCATTCTCTTTAAATCCAGGCACTGACAGCAAAGGACAATATCCAGTTGGTCAGTAGAAGCCATTGATCCGGGAGAGCTAAAGCACTTCGAGGAAATGAGGCTGTGGGTGTTAGAGTAGGCTTTTCAATGAGGAGGAAAGTCTTATCTCCCGGTTTAAGACCGTTCACACGCTGAGTTTAATAACCTTTAATCTTTATGGATCTTTGGTTCCCATTTCTAGAACAAAAGCAGCCTTTTCTCAAGGTGTTGACCTGAAGTGAGCTTGATTCTGCTGCAGTGTGGCAATGCATCTTCAAGAATAATTAAAGTGCTTGTTTTATTTAATTCACTTATTCCAAGGGGAAAATCATCATGTGCAGAATACAGGTGACAGGCACGCCCACCCAGACATGTCTGGCACATTGGGCGATGGTGCAAGGAAACCAGCAACCCTCAAGGAGAAAGCACTGGAATATGAATTCCTAGAGAGTGCAAAGAGACCATGGCAAAAGACCGCAGATCCCACCAGCTCCAATGGTAACTATTCATCATAATGGCTTTGCACAAAGAGATGTAGGTTAGTGGAATAAGCTATTGAAGTATCTGTCAAGGCAAGTCAAGGATTTGTGACGTAGCTGCGGACAAAGTAGAGGGGGGCTGTTCTGTGGAGTAACACTGGGGCTTTTTCTCAGAGTCGCTGTTTCTGCAGATGTGGCTGCACCTCTTCAGGAGAGCAGGACAGGTGCTGTCAAAGCCCACCCAGGTCCGTGCCCCACACAGACCCGGAACACGCTGAAATACAGTGGACAGAGCTTCGTCCCAAGTGGTCAGCCCCCCTTTGGCACCAGCCTGCCAGCCGCAGTGCATCCTGCCCCTGTCCGAAACCCCCCAGGCTTCAGCCAGTACCAGGTAACGTTCCCATCAAGTATTGAAAGTTTGTAGCAGATCATTTTTGAAGTCAGTTTCTTGAGTTCTGAGATGTATTTACCAGGCTTTAACCAAGCAGTTGCTCTGTCTTGCCTTCATTTTGCATGATTTACCATTCAGCTGAGGGCTTTATTGTTCTTTTTGTAGTTACACTGTGGCAGGCTGTGCTGCTTTGTTGCTCAGGGTCCCACAGCAAAAATGTCTCTGCCTTTTAACTCTTAACATAAGACAACATCTTTTCATTGTATTTTAATAGGGCTTGCACTCTTTAACCCCCCATTCAACCAAGAAATCACCAGCATTAAAATACTGCAGACCAATGCATAGAGTTAATTGGTTTACTGTATATTTCAAAGTATATCACTCTTGAATATTCTGTTTAATGACACATTAATGTCCCATGCCAAATGTCTCAGGCCTCTGTAATTATTAAAAAGTTGGCAGCTATGAGCTTTTGTCAGTCTGATTAGATCCCGTTTTGCATCAACGGTGATGCAGAAGTGACATCTTCTGTTACTGTGGAGATACCTAAGCCTGAATTTACTTAAGAAGTCACTGAAAATCTTTACTCTAGTGTGTCTTAAGCCTAAAGCCGAGATATTCCCCTGCCACACTTTAAAGCCAGATTATATCACTTAGATTTCTCCTATCTTGCTCTTGCTTCTACTCTGCAGAATTCAGGTGCTGCAATCAGTCCTTTTATCTTGGCATGCAAATATATAAGTGTGATTCCCAATGTCTAAAGCGCTGGCACACCAGAGTGGTGCAAATCCTCTCTAACCTTACACAGCAGCACAGGAGAGCCCTTGTAAGACTTTAACCTGAAGAGAGAAGCATCTGTTAGAGTGTGTGACAGGGAAAGTTACGTTTTAGTTTCTGTATACCTCTCTGTCTCTCCCTGCCTTGGTTTTTCCATTTCTCTCTCGCGCTCCATTCCTGCTCTGTTGCTTGTCAAGATGAGCCATGGACACATCCTCATTCTTTTACCAAATTATTAAAAATTAACAAATGAGCAGGAACAGCTGCAAGAAGTTGGTGAGTGCTCTCGGAGAGAAGAACTGCCTTGGGCAGTTTCCTTATAAGGTAGCAAAGAACAAGTTGTGTTTTTCATTTAATCTGAAACTCTATTTTAAACATTTGATAATGGATGTATAACCCTTAGAAAGAGGGGAAAGCAGAATGCACTGTGCTTATTTCCTGTCAGGACAGACTCCCAGGTTGATTGCCATCTGTTTCCCATAGCTTTCAGATTCTCTAGATGTAAAAGGTGCAAAGCCTTTGAGTGTTTCTTGTTAATACAAGGCCTGTAGTGCTTTTCAAGGTCTTTCATGTAGAGGGTGATGAAAAGAGAAAAAATGGATGAGAACAAGAGAAAGCCCTCTCAGACTCATTTGGCTTTTAGTAGTTTATTGATCTCTGACTCTATTTCCTATAAGTATTTCTATCATGCTATAAGATTTCTGTAAATCAGGGCCCACAGGTTTATGTAGTGCACTTCTCTGAGTTTCCAAAGCATAATGTCACCTATTAGCATGGCCTAAAGTCCCTGAAAGAAGGGAGACTGTCATTGGGGGATACTGCACTGTTCGTCCAATCGGACAGGGCAAAGTTTGTGAAAACTTTGCCTCTGCAAAAAAGGAAGGCCATTCTCAATCAAGCTTTTTAGTCATGAGTCTTGATTAATGTCGTCCTCTCTAATCAGTTCAAAGCAATTAGATTATCCTGCACAGAACAATTTAGTTATATCCTATTTCCAGGATCTCTCTGTTTGGCAAAAAATGTGAAAAAATAGAAGACAAATAGGTTTCTACAGAAATGTTTCAATTCTCTATAGAAACCTTTAGATTATTTAACTAAGAGAGATTCACACCAGCTGAGGGAGGTGATAAAAAGGAATATTAGCCTTGAAATGTTTGGTTGAGCTAAATGATTGATTTCCACTCTTAGGCAAGGGGGGGGAGTAGACCGACACCCCTAACAGAACTTCTCTTTCGTGATCAACTCCCCAATTTACATAAATGGCCATCCATTAAGCCCGGCTGTGTGCTGTTGCCAAGCGACGCGGGTCCTCGGTTCTGAAGCAATTAGCTTTTTCATTAGCACCTATCAGAAAAACCGTTACTTCATCACAAGGCCGCAGATTGGAGAGAACAACCAGAATGAATCTACATTTGATCTGTTTTATTAAAAGATGGAAAACAGTACCAGAAGTACCTTTCTGGCAATCCCTTTACATATTATTGAATATGCTGTGAACATATATCCTCTGTAGTCCTTCGACTGAAAGGCAACGACACTGAGAAGCTTTAGGACCAAAGAATTAAGTAAATATAGGCAAACATGGTCTGGTCAAACCAAGGTTTAACATCAGCCACTGCTTTAAGTTTCTCGAAAAAGCTCCTATATAAACCTGTATTATTACTGTTACTAAATTTAAGGGTCAGTTTCCGTGACACGATTTTTAAAGCTTTCAAAGTATTTTCCTCTTCTTTTTTACAGCCGCCCTCTGAGTTGGCTGTCATGTCCAAAGACACACCAACATGACATATTTTCCACTTAGGTATTTTAAAGATGAAAATTAGCAAACAATGTGGGTAAAGTAAAATGTGAAGTCAAGAGGCTGGCACTCCGGAGTGTAACTAAGCAACAAACCGCTGCTCTCAGCTGGTCTGCCACAGCGCTTCAAAGCAGCCGAAGGTTCTGAGAAATGACGCAGGCTTCACGAAGCAAAAAAAAACAAACAGGGAAATAGCAAAAAGCAGGAAAGGAATAACACGGACATAAGGCTTATTAAGAATCGATAGATCAGTCCTACATTTAGATGCCATTAGCGAAGTTGAACCCAGACTGAGTGACTGCCTTCTAAGTTACTGCAACTAATTCTGCACACAGACACATGAGAACAGATGAAGGCTAAAATGTTGAAAGTGAAATTCAGTTTTTCTCCTGCAAATGAATTCTTGACAGGGCGTTAAGTAGCTGGGATTTGAGAGGTGAGATGTTTATTTACACTGTTTTTTTCTGTTGCACAGCTGAGATAGATGCACTGAATAATTTTGCAGTGCTCACAGATAGGAAGAGTATGCTTGGAGATAATCAAAACCCACTGACCTCACCCTCCCAAAGGTTCTTTTACCCTGGGTTATGTCAGTACATTAACATGACGGAGGGGGCATCTATATCTTACTAACTAAATTCCATCTTTCCTCACAGAAAGGAAAGGGAACGAGCCTCATTTTGTGGAGCACACTTTCTGTGTCCTTTATCTGCTGCCTCAGACCATGAGGTCTTGCAGAGATCCACTGCAGCAGGTGGTGTAGGTGTCTCATGTCAGGGGATAAACATCATGCTGGTTAATTAGGTCCAAGGTTGGCATTGATACAGTAAGTAATTAACAAGTAATTCAGCTGGGTTGAAATAATACCAGAAGACTCTGTAGCTCTGCAGGAGAGGGGGTTGCGACCACAAAACATGGATATCACAGAATTATTAGAAAACCTAATCTTAAATTACTGGAATGCTAGATTAATTTATGTATTGTATAAAAAAGTGTCATGTTGTGAAAAACACCATGATACACTGTGTCCTGGAGACACAGTCTTGCTGAGGTCATCGGTATCTAGTCAGAGACCGTGGATTCAATTTTACAATAAAATCGCAGAATGATTTCACGAAGGGGCGCAAGTAGTTCAGCCCTCGGGTCTGAAAAGTTAACCGACCGCTGCCTTGAAAATTATGTTCTAAATTATAAATGACAATTTGTGACAAGCAGCAGAGAACGTCATTTTGGAAGATGTCCAGCAAATCCAGGTCTGAGTGAATTTCAGCTTGTTGCAAAATCCGCGTTGCCACGTTGGAGCAACACTGCTCTTTTGGAACAGGGTGTTGTGTTGAACAGCCTCTTCTTGTTGAGGAACACCAAAAAATCTTGAGATTAGAATACATAAATAGACACTGGTCAGTATGTGTTTATGGTACGATAATAGTTTTGCATCCAATTTGTTTTGCTTGTTTACACAAGCGAGGAATATTTTTTCTGATATATTGTGACACCTTCAAGATGTGATAGTGCCACACAAATGCAGATAACCAATTATTAAGCTTTTTTTGCTCTTGAGAAGCCCTGCTTTACTTAATGAAAATGCAATTAAGTGTGCAGCAGTTCACTCTGACTCATTGCTGTGTTTGCCAATACCTGTACCTTGCTTCACATTGGTGCTTTTATGAAAATGAACATTTGCATGTTAATCCTTTTGCCTCTGGATGTAAGAACACTTCTTCATTGGAATGAAGCTTGCAGACAGCGGGGACACTCTTGTTGTGTTTGTTTGCTTCAGTAAGTGTTGTGAATGAAATGTGCTGTGTCTCTTTAACCACGGAGCAGTGTGCCTGACGGGCTGTACTCCCAATAAACGTGCAGCTCTCTTCTTTTAGGACATGGCATCATATTGGATTTCCAAACAAGACATCTGCTGGGGCTTGAAAACAGCCCCAAATATTTTATTGACGTTTTCTTGGCTTCACTTGTTAAGAGCATTGATTTTCTTTCCTGCGACTTGTCGATGTATCTCTTGTACGATGTTAGAAGATTTCTCTGTGTTTATCTATGCATGGATATTAGTGAAATTATTATTTATGTGTATATTTATTTTTGCAGAACTTTTTCCAGCAGCTGCCAGTGAACCACATGAGCCACCTTCAGGCTGTCAACCCAACCAGATTTCAGACCAGACCGGTGAGTAACTGCATTATTGTCTGTTGTAGGTTTGAGACTGCACAATAATTTAGTGTAGGAGGATCTAAGCTAAATGACAGATTAACGTCAAGCTCCCTCACAGCTGCTGACTGTAAGTATAAAACCCATTGCTTGATGGCTGGTTTCCATTGGTTAAAGGAAGAAACTACTGGGAAACAAAGTCTCAATCAAGTACACAGAAGAACAAGCAGGAGTTGGGAAGTTGTGCATTAATGGCTGAGAAAGGGGAGGCAATGACTGCGAGGCAAGGATGAGATTTCTGAGTATATCCAAAGCTGCTTATCCCTGGTGCAGGTCTGTGCAGCCCTGAGCCCAGGTAATGTGTTGGAAGTAAATGGAATTATAGAGCTCAAGGGGGAGCCCTGGACTGGACACCTATCCGTTTCAGTAAAACAGTTATAAACAGTTACTGTGCCAAAATAAATGCTAAAAAAGCTGGACCTAAGATTACAAGTCCTTCAAGTTAGGTGAAAAGAATAGCTTCTAAACCAGGGATACTCAGCTTGCAGCCATTCCAATCTGCTCCATCCCAGAATTTTGTAAGTGTAGCAAGTAAGGAGCTAGTAGCAGCAGACTCCTGGCATGGAGCATATTGTAAGGATGGAAAATTGTGCAGCCTGCAATCTGAAAAGTCACCACTTAAAGAATAAAGCATCAACTCTTTCTGTGGAGGAGAGATGACAGAGCGCTGTAGTGTAAATCTCACGGTGGTTGTCCTGCTTTGATGCACTGCTGTGCCGTATTTTCCCGTTACAGTGAACAGACATTACAGTATTTCCACATTCTGTTTTTTTCCCATTAGCTTGTCAAAAACGTGTATTGCCACACAGAGTGATCTGCACATGCTGCTACTAGAGCTTGTGTACTTGTGATGCAAAGGACTGAATCCAGTAGCATACAAATTAGATAATAATCACAAGGCACGCTCACAAATGGGCTCCTTTCTAATAAATGCCCTCCAGCCTGAAAATCTGGAAATACAAAATAAATGATTGAATTTTTTCTTTTGTACATTTTGATTTAGATTTTTCGATTAAACCCTTGCCATACTTGTTACATCATAGTCTACTCCCTTGCTTCAGTGCAATGTGTTTTTTGTGCTCGGGTCACCTTTTGCCTTTCCCCTAGATGTTCCTCAAGGAAAAACATGTATATTTGTTAAAATATACCTATATAGTAGCGGTGTGTGTAAAAGGACACACAGAGATGAGAATGCGGTCATGCCCAAGCTGTTAACTGGAATCAAACAGCCATCTGTATCCCCAGCACTGCTTTCTTTAAGAAACCATCAATCGTGCACAGAAGTACAAAGTATAGATACAAGGAATAAGTTTATTCTATGCTGAAAAGAGAAGAGAGAAAACACAACGTTTTGGCTGTGAAGCCTTCATCAGGTGCCTTCACCTTGACCTTGACCTGAAGAAGACTTCACAGCCGAAACGTTGTGTTTTCTCTCTTCTCTTTTCAGCATGGAATAAACCCATTACTCGTTCCTTTGAAGCCTACGCATGCTGATGCAGCCCCCTACCTGAACTGCTTTAAAGTATAGATAGGCCACTGGACAGGACGTGGTGTAAATTTTTTAGCTTTCCCCCTACAAAATCATTTTCCTCATTCAGGACTCCAGCAATGCCGCAATAGCTAGCTTTCTAATTTCTTGAAATGTCAGACTCCTTTCTTGTTGGTTTGTCTCATGCAGGAAAGCTGTAGTAGTTCTCACTAGGCTTTGTGACTCTACCAGAGCTACTGTAGATAAGGTCTCCAACATCCCTTAGGAGAAAGGGCTTGGAGTAAGAACAATATGTCTACTCTATTAGAAGCACAGCAGATACAGTAAATTATGGCATGCATATTGCAGGTCAGGTTCACTCAGACATCTACCCTCCCCTGTGTAAATTGAATCAAAGAGTACACATAAAATACTAAACATAAAAGAAGGTAGGAAAGAAACTATTTTAAGAAAAATGGCAAAGAAGGTACAATGTACTTGATTTTCTGCTTATTTTCTTTTCTGGACCCAGTGCCTTGCAACAACATCTTTCTGTGTAAGTCCAAGTGGCCTAGCTAAGAAAAGTCGCCAAATTTCCTCACATTTATACACGCAGTCACTGCACGTTCACTTTCAGTGAACTGAACGTTCTGCCTGCTTCTCATTTGAACAGACATATCCAGGCCGCTGTCAGTGTGAAATGCCCCCAATTCTAAATTCCTGCTATTTTCCCTTCCTCTGTAATATTCGAAAAGGGCCATTTCATGATCTGCCAGGCCATCACTGGGGGCATCTGATTCGCTCTTACATGCGGGTGTGTTTTCTGTATCATCATTCATAAAGAATAAAGAGACAGTGGAATGGAGTCATGGGGGCTTTACAGTGTAAACCAACTGTGCAGCGCAGGTAAGGTGAATGCTCTGCAGTACTGTTCCAGTCAACTCTCTGTCCCAGTCAAAGAGTTGGTGCCCTGCATGGGTCTCAGCTCCTTAATGAGCCCACACCATGTGATCTTTTCTGCTGGGTGACTGCACCCCTACTCCAAGATGTTTTATCAGGATTTTGGCTCTGCTTTGATCCCGTGAAAGGTCAGGGTCAATAACTCCATTCTCACCCCCACAGGGATAAGAAATGTAGAGAATGTAAGAGCTGGACCCCCACTCTTGTGCTAAAGATTAGACAGGAGTCACCAACTGCACACTCCAGCAGTTTAGTTTAGTGATCTGCCAGAACACAGCGAGCAGAAATGGAAAGCAATCCGAGTTTCTCCAACACGCAGCCAGTTTATAGGCTTTAGGGCTGTAAACAGTAATGGTGTTCCCTATTTCTTGGATCTTACAGTTTATTATTATTAGGGGGCCATTGAAGCTGCTGGAACCCTATGGTTATTGTTTGGATTATATATATTTTTTACCAGAATATAAAAAAAAATATCCAGACCCCTGGAAGGGAAAGTCATGAAATTTGGCAAGAATTTATATGACAGAAAATTAGCTTGATAAGTCACATGGTTTTGTTGCCATATTGGATTGGTTTTATGGATTGGCATATGCAGACTTGGTCAGGTTCTCACTTATAATCATTCAGCAGAGCCAGTCAAATTTCAAACATTTGTTTTGAATATATGTGCTTCATATACTGTATGTTTGACTGTGTTGTGAAATTCAGTATCTGTAACAGAATATTGTAGTCTTGTGAGTAATCAATAAGGAATAGTGTGTAAAACTGACATAATTTGGCAACTGTATGAGATCGTATTTCTGACCTTTCTTTCTGTTCATTTGAAACATTATTTTAGAGTTCTATAATGGGTACACAGTCATGGTTACTATGGAGCATAAATAGGAACTCTTATGTGGGCTATCAAAAATAATCTTCCCCATGAACCTTAACCTTTCCCAAAGGTCTCATGCAAAATGTTCTTAAACTCCTTACAGAGCAGGATCATGGTTGTTATGGAAAACTTTAGGGATACCATATGCACTCTATCACAAATGGTTCAAATATTTGTATACAGCAGCTATATTATTATTTACTTTCACAAATTCAACATGAGGTCCCAGAGATTAAGGAGCTATTTGCTTATTAAATAACACTTAAGGTGAAATGGAAAAAGCTTAGATCAACATGGAATTAAAAGTCCAGCTTTCTTTAAAACTGAGGTCTCTGGAACTCATAAAGGAAAACCATTTCGAACTGATTCCATTTCAATTCAGCACACTCCAGGCTGACAGCCCAGATCCAGGCAGAAATAAAATGAGAGAAAAAACAACACTTGTTTTATACACAATTCTGCAGAAAATCAGAACTTGACCATTTATTGTAGTAAGATTGCATCGTCTTCTGTTTTTCCATGGTTTTACAAAGCTCATATTATTTATTTACTGTGCTTTGCCCATGCTTTCACATGGTTACTACCATGTTGTTTGTTACCTTATTGTGCTTCAATATGCTGCTTTTTATGATTTATGCCCTTACTGTATAATCCTTTATGAAAACATCTTACATAGATAGATAATTTTTTATTAATCCCGTAGGGAAATTGATGAAATATACTGTACATATACTGTACAGTATATATATTACATATACTGTACAGTATATATATATATTACATATACTGTAGCTGAATTTAAGAAGTATAAATGAAGTACAGTAGTTCAGGTGGGCAGCTGCGTCAGCATGCATCGGCTGCGAAGGAACAAGTAAAGGTTTATTCCTGCTGAAAAGAGAAGAAAGGAAACACAACGTTTCGGCTGTGGACACCCGAAGAAGGCTCCACAGCTGAAACGTGGTGTTTTCTTTCTTGTCTTTTCAGCATGGAATAAACCTATTACTTGTTCCTAAATAAAATACAGGGCAGCATGGTGGTACAGTGCTTAGCACTGGGGCCTCACAATACTGGGGCTCTGGATTTAGCTCTGGACCTGGGGTACTATCTATGTGGAGTTTGTATGTTCTCCCCATGTCACATGGGTTTCTTCCAGGTGCCACAGTTTTCTCCCACAGTCCAAAAACATACTGGTAGGTACAGTAAGGCCCTGGTATGAGTGTGTCTGTGTTTGCGTCTGTGTGTACCCACAATAGACGTGATTGCTGGCATAGGCTCCAGCTCCCCAGCAACCATGGATTGGAAGAGGCAGTTAGAAAATGGATGGATGGAAATTAAATACAGAAGTCAAATTCACATCTAAGAATATGATGTTCATTTAAGGCATATTTTATCTGAAGAATTTGTTGTGTCCGGGGTGTTGTTTAAGCAAGACTGAGGCAGTAAACATAAATCTTGGTGATATGATTGAATTGTAAATAACAGAAACAATTTTTTTAAAAACCCTAATGAAAATCAATATTTTTTTTCTGGTTTCAAAATATGATAGATGTCTTGTCGGCGCTTTTTGACAGAATAAATGAGAGAAAAAGTTTGATCTCAGAAAGTAGGCTAAATGAATGGAGTGTTGGGAGAGACACCCCAGGACATTTCCACAGTACAGTAAAACAAACAAGAGTCACCTGTACGTCTGATAGCATTCATTTCCCCTTGGATACAAAAAAAAATAGTTCCAGCTGTATTCAGCAGACTTCTTAAATTAAGTGATAAATCAAATACAGCTGCCAAAAAAAGATAGAAAATTCCCTGAGTTCAGCAGCTAATATTTTATAGATCTTCTTTAAATATGCATGCAGTGTCTGCTGTTGTAAAAGAGCTCTCCCACTCATTTCAGCTGATTTCACATCTGGACTGATGTTGTCATCCGAGTCCATTGTCACCCAGAAGAACTCACCCACCAGCACCTGAGTCCCCAACACATTGTCATCTGTCTTCAAATGTTTATGTTCGAGTCAGCATATGTCTTTAAGTATTTAGTTGATTTGTGTTTTTTGGGGAATATGGAAATTGTGGAATTGAAAATAATAGCTTCCCCCTTTGCCCCGTCTCCCCCCAGCTCCCTGATGTCTTTCAGCCCCTCCCCCGCCGAAACAAGATGCCACTACACTGTCATTAAGAGGGAAGATTGCTTTGCGCAGCTGTTTACTTTTTAGTTCGTTTTTGTTTTTTGGAAAAGGAATGAGAACAATAGTTTCAAAACACAGCAGGGATCTTATTCATGAATTCACTGCCCAAGCAGAAAAATAAAAACAAGATCCAACAAAAAAACAAGATCCTGGCAGTGAACTCTGCCAAGTAATGAAGGAAGACGTGTACAGTTTGTGGCAGGTCTGGTTCTCGGTATAAATTAAAGTGTGTGCAAGCAGATAAAATCAACAAGGTTCAGTGCACATAGCTTAATAACTTTTAACAATGCAAAAGTTGTATTTCTTTATTTCAAACACAAATTTATTGATAGCCCCAATGCCCACAGGAGTCTTCCCTTCCTCATCCATCTCTTCCTCTACAGCAAATCAGTCCCTTCGGCTTTTCCCCGATGGCACCTTCCATGTTCTACCCATACGGTCTGCTGCCCTTGGGGCAACCAAGGCCCCCGCCTCAGGCAAGTGGGTGCCACCGAGTCCCAGGGGTGCCCCCTGACCCCTCCCACATGTTCGGGGATGGGCTACAGCATCACTTTCCATCTCTTTACAGGTACAGTCTGGGGTTTTACTGACTTGGGGTGTGATAGGAACCAAGACACAGCACTTACAGACTTGGGAGACCGAGGTTAATATGCTGCTTTTAGAAATACTTTGTCCATGGTAGACTTATGTTACATCACAGCACTTTTACATTCCTTACACACTTTCCTAATCGGGACGATGTATGTTTATATAGCAAAAATAGCAACTCCAAATATAGTACAATTGTCTGCATAAGCATCATGTCAGGTAATGCCCAATGCACGTGGCCCTGCTATAGTACCAGATACTGCAGTATCTCTACTTAGTTTTTTTTTTCTTTTCATTAATCACATTGGAAACACTACCTTTCTGTGCATACTGTATGTAAGAATTTACCTAAGCCCATTCATTCAAGTCTCACCTGCCTTTCATGGGCTGAGCCTCGATAAAGAGTTCTGCAATGCCAGCTTCTTCATTGAGAAGTAAAAAACAAGAAACACAGTTTCAGAGCAGTAACGACTGTCTGCTTTCTCTCCCTTTCCCTTTTGCTTTTTATTTTTCTGTGCTCAGTGACAATTTACAGGAGATTGGGAATCTTTTGAGCTTCAGCATCGGCCGCCCATATTTTGCGAGCAGCACAAATGGTAGGGTTTATTAGATCTGTTTTGAGTTTGAAACCAGGAGCATGTTGAGTGTTCTGTGCTCATTAGAAAGAAGGTGAGGCTTTCTGAATCTCTGACTTCATGGGGTTGTCTAGACTGTTAGGATTGTATTGCTAGTGTCAGTATTATTTTAACTCCTGACAAGCAGCAGAAAGGGGAGGTGGCATTCCAAGAAAATGTAGCACAGAGGGACAGTGTTATATATTTTTTCATAGCTTATATTAGCATTCCCTTTCAGAACGGTCATGGTGGCTCTAGTCTCATTAATAGCTCCATAATGGAACATTGCAGGGGACTCGGGGTCTGTAGCTTTGAGAGATTGTAGTATGCTGCCATCCAGACAACGAATAAGCTGTTGTGCAGCCGCCTGATGCAACCCCATCACTTCAGAGCGTGTAATCTTCCCGAGATCGTCTGCTGCCCAGTTGAAATTTCATCATTGAATCGTGATGGAGGCTAGGTGGGGGGTCAGGCTGGTTCTCCAGTAACATGCACAGAAACACACAGAAATCCTGGGCAGGCGAATGGGGGCGAGTGTATATATCAGCAGAGCCAGTGAGCAGGTTCTACCCTATCGAACAAAAATGCAATCACTGAATTAAAATACAATAATGTTATTTAGGCGAAACAAATGGAATTACAGCAGCTTGATGAAGCGTGTGCTTGAAAGACACAGTTAGGTTTAAGAAAGAACCAGCAAAACATTCACGTTTTACATCTTTTTTTTTTTAAACTGGAATATCTCTTAAGGATGATTGTGTTTCCCCTACAAAGCCCCTAATCAGTCAGACACCTTAATGGGAAAGACCTGCCGTTCACCAATCGACCCTCGGGATGTCAACAACAATGCATGAAAGGAAAAAAGCAATAATAACATTTTCACACGGACAACGACCAGCTGTTAACAACAAGTAATACATATAATCAGCAAGCAGGGAGAACACCACAACAGTCTGTTTCCATATAGTTATGACTTTGGGCCTGCTATTCATTTTTTTAGTCACCAAGCAGTTTTCATTACTTAATTACATGATGAGGTAATTAGGCAGTTATTACATGGAATGAAACGAGGTTGGAAATATTTGGCCTGTATCTAAAGTGCTGAAGAGCCACCAGGTCTGCAGAACATGTCGAAGGGAGACGACTGTACAACAGGGTGCTGCGTATTGGTGCGTTGTGGCAGGAGCAGTGTGAAGTCCGCGTGCTGCCCTGTCATGCACATATGTTCCCACAGTTGGCCTGACTCATGCCTCCTTCCTGTAGTTCCTCCAGGGTTCTCTGCAGATGCTTTCTTCAGGGGACTCATGTAGACGGACGCCAGGGGACAAGCAGACGCCATGCGACCATGCGACCTGTGTATTGTTTCTTTGTTCCGGCTGGAAGTTTGCTTTCGACTTGGGAGATGTTGGAATGGGCAGACAGTGCGCTTTTTGTTTTTCCTTGATAAATGTATAATGTTAAAGCAGTTTAAAAAGAAATAAACCTCATAGATTGTTGTAATAAATCTTTCTCTTTTTTTTTCCCAGAATGTTTTGGATTTGTCTGGGGGTTTTTTTCTGGGCACAGCAGGTACCACTTTTTCTGTTACCGCGACACTCTGCTGCGGGAGCATTATGCCTGACAACAGTGGATTAGTTCTTTAATATTAGTTCAAGTTACAGGGAAAGTACTCCCATGCGACTCAGTACTCCTGTATCGGTGTATTTTAACGAACAACTGTAAAGATGTTGAGTGTGTTTTGCATTTTAAACTTGAGTGTACTGACTGCATTTAGAAACACTTTAGCACCTGGGGTTTCTAACCAAGGTTTGGAAGGAGTACAGTAATGTCAACCAACGTCTCCTTCACCTCTGCTGCTGTAACTCCTGATCCTTCATGATGTCACTTCCTGTAAAGCTACTCACACCGCAGGAAGCTCCTCTCTCTTGCTCGCTCCAGTGTTTCTGGCTCTTCCAGCCTGTCTCCACCTCCTTCCCCCACCCCTGTCCTGGGTTTCCTCCTCTCTCTGCAGGGGCTGATCTTCCTTGTCCTGCAGCCAGGTAATTGACCCTCAGTCCTTCATTCCTACCTCCATAATAAACAGTCCTATATGCATTTTCTTTATGGGGTGATGTCCTTCTTAATGGAGTTTAATTAAGCCAGTACTAACCACCTGTTGAATTGTTATCAAATGTTGCATTATTTCAGTGTGCAATAATTTAATGAATAAATTCAGTATTATAAGCTTGATAGTTACAGTATGTACAGGATTGATAAAGTAATACTGTGTTACTCACCACACCTAAGACTTGCTTAGACTGCACCCTGAGAAATGCTACCCAGCTTGTTCTCACTGATTAACACAGGAACAGGTGACCCATTTTCTCCTCACCCTTAATCTGATTCTTGGTTTACCCTTCAAAGGAAGCTCTTTTTCAAACCCTCCCGTGATCCTGGATATCCCAGGGTTGCTCTTTGCTGTACAAAAGTCCTCTTTTGAAACCATTTCTCTTTTCTCTCATTTATTCTTTTTCCTCCCACGTCAATAAATCCTGTGGCCTGATAATCAATAATGCAGGTGATCAATACACTTTCTTCTACAGGCAGACAAAGTGCTACTTAGCTTAAAATTATGATGTTTTGGCAGCGTGCAATCATTATATTTAAGCCGGTAAGGCTTCAAAGGAAGACTGTTGGGTATTTGCTTTGCAAAGGTCAATACCATTTGCTGCCTATTTGAATTTTATCTGCTGTTTACCGTTTTTTGCATTTTCAAGAAATTGATGATGACAGAAGCCATCTTCACCGAGAGAGAGCCCAGCATGTTTGGTACACTTACCTGAAATATGCAAATATTCAATTAATTACACATGTACATACACAAAATGACTATGTTACTGTGTGTTATTTCAATGTAGTAAATGTACAGCTGCTTTTAACTTTATATTCAGCTAGACCAGTGAATTTCAAAGTTATTTCAAAGATATTGAACAGTTAACGTCTCCTGTTAAAAAAAGTTTTTATGAATTACATTGTAACCATGTGTAATATCACTGTAACTAGGATATTTTTACTAAGCTTTTACTGTACTGTTACTCTGTCAATTGACACCGTATAGTCGTACTGTGCTTTGTCCAAAAATATACCGTAAGGGCACAAATGGAGTTTCAACATTGAGCTTGTAGTAATTCAACTTCTTTGACTGGCAGAGTAGAAGGCGCAAGTAGTTCAGGTGGGAGCTGTGTCAGCATGTGGAGGCTGCAAAGGAAGGTTTATTCCATGCGTTTCTTTACCATTTTATTATATTAATTTACAGTACTATAGTAAAATTACTTATTTACTATATTAAACAATTAATATGTTTCTCACCTCTGCTCCACATTTACTCGGGTTTGGCTGATCTGATTTCTAAATAAGTGAAAATATATATTTGATGGAATGTTTATATACAGACACTGTGAAAAGGGCTTCTCATAAAGTTTTCCCAAGATGGGTAAGTCAAAAAACAAAAGGAAAAAAAAATTAAGCATAATCTCTGTGTTAATGCTCTATGTACAAAAAGTGTGCAATAGAATTGTGAAGAGGGTTTCAAGACAACAAACTTTTTAAAATGTTCTTAGATTTTTGTTTCATTCTTACCGGGATCGATTTCCAAAGCTCCTAAAATATATGAGATTTTGTGTAATGGGGAATGAACTGCTAACCATTATAATGCATGAATTCATTTAAAAAACCTTTTACCATCTCTCTTATTTTTGAACCAGTTTCCGTTCTTGGCATGCTTGGGAAATTATTAGTGTAAAAAGTGCTTTCTGTAAGGACTTGATTCATTTGTTACCCATCTGTGGCCAGTCACAATAAAAACTGGAATAAAAAGGCAAAAATGAAAGGAAATAAAAGATGCAGGGAACTTGAAAGGAGAAGAATGAATATACAATATGCATTCAATTACATTCTCAGCTGCAGGGTTCATTAACTAACAGTATGTAATAAAAATTACCATTCATCAAGTGTAAGTATGGGCTGAGATTGCCTGAAGATATTGCTGATCATCTTTTTTAACAGCACAAGATCAATATCTAGTGGCATCCAACCGAATGTGTCCTGAGCAGTGTGCCACAGCATAGGAGTAATATCTGTGACCAGCTAGACAGACATTCTCTGACCACCAGGGCTTAAAACCTCTGTCCTGCAGCTACTGTAAGCACACAGAACTGTGGTACAGACTGGGAGCAGGAGGATAAATACAGTACAGATTGTCCCCATTATAAATCCATGCAATAATACAACATACAGCAAAATGACTTATAAAAGACCCTAAGACCCTTATTTGTACATATAATGATCTTATAGCCTATACAAAACAAAAGATAGAAGTAGGTAAGGTATTTAGGATCCTCTGTACTGTATGTAAGTAGTCTTTAGCTCTGATCTTGGACAGTCCAGATGTGTCAGACACTACATGTGCCTTGAATAAGCACTTAAAAGTTCAAGTTCATTTTCCCTGATGAAACCAATATTTATACCCCCCTAAGAAAATCCCTTCAGAAAATATCCTTTTCATGCCTCTTTTATGGACTCAGTGCCAAATCAGGGAGTACAAATCTTAAGGAAAAGAGTGCTGAACTGGATTGAATGTGACAGTGTTACTGTTATTCTATCAGTAAGCGTTTAAATTCATGTGCCCCAAAGGAGCTCGTTTAAAAAGGCTTGGTAAGAGTGAGCAGGAGCAATGAACCTAGCTGACTGGCAATTGTCAAATTGCAAATTTGGGAGAGCAAAATAAAAAAATGCAGAACCTGTATTTGAAAAAAGGATAAATCCCTGAAGAGACTTAGACCTTTAGTTCGCGGTGGTCCTATCAGGGCAATTGTACAAATGTAGTGGCTCATTAAGAATGATTTTCATGCTTTTCCTGAGTGAATCATAGTTTTCCAGCTAAGTAGTTTTCTGCCCCATTGACGGTGCATGTTGTGAGTCATGGAATGAGCCCTGTCCCCTTTGTTGTTCAGAGCTAGCTGGCTCTGTAACATTCCTGATGTTTTATAACAAAGCAGAAATGGTCTGAAGCAAACAAGAAGAGAACCAGCTAATATTTCGTTCCATTCTTTTGATTAAACATTTTAGAAAATCGAGTCGGGGGTGATCAATCTGAGTCCTTTCTGGGTGTGTCAGTCACTACAAAAGGCGTCATGGTAGACAACTGGAGAATAAAGACAAAACTGGCTGAAAGTAGGAAGCTGTCTGTAATGAAATAAACTGTAAGAAAGCACTTGGGAACAGCTCTTGTCCTCCATAAAAAAATTCTCTTAAGCCTGCTTTTTTATACAATATGGAAGACTGCTGTATGAAGCACTACAAAAATGATTTCAGTAGTTCAAATTCTAATTCTTACAATGATGAGACGAGTCGACACATTTAAAGGGGTAGTATGCTTAACACACTGGTGTTAACTCACCCGGCTGAGAAAATGACAGTGCTGGACAAATGTCTTCATAACCTTCATAACAGGGGTATATCAGGTTCAGGTGCTGTATTAAGAAATTGTAGTGGAATGTACCTGAGCAGTCTTGGTACAACCTTGCTTAATTGAGATAATATAGGCTTTAACTGTACATGAATATGATCTGGACTCCAATGAACTTGGTAATGGTGATAGCTGAAAGGAGTGTACCGTACCAGCCCGTTTTTTGCACCATGTTTCACAATTGCAAACAATGTGGAAATTTAAATGAGTTCCATAAGTCAACAACTGCCTCTCATACCTCATTTCACATGACTTAATTATGAAGAAGCAAGTTTTCACCAAGGAAGAGAGAAACAGTAGTTCCTAAACCCATAAAAAAAAAAGAAAAAAAATCACCTGAAAATAATTGCGTGTTTCAGCAGTCTGTATCATTCATGTTTCCCAATGGGTCATAATTTATGGGCAATTTTGACAGCAGGCTCTGAGATATTTTCACAGGAATTGCCTCCTGGGATTGTTGAACTCTATCAATGAAATGAGTAAAATAGCCCAATGTCCTTACCTTGTGTACAATGTTTCTGATTTTCGTATTTACCTACTCATTATCCAACCAGCAGAATGCACAACAAGAATCTGAGGAGAAATATAAAAACAGATTCATGTAGAAAGATGAAATGAGGCAATCCAGATTCAGTTAATACTCCTACTAAGGTAAACCTTGTGGGCTAACATTCACATGCTCATTATATTTATTTCAGTGCTTAAAGCAGAAAGCCTCACTCAGTCGCGATCTCTTAATCTTTACCATACCAACCAGAATACCTTTTGCAAAGAGACTACAGAGGCCCTATTCTTTTTAATAACTGCAACCGAATAATGTTACAACCTTTCCTTCTCTCTCCTAAGAAAATACAAACCAACAAACAGCTCATTAAAATCTCCTGAATATTATATGTAATTGATGCAAGTCTGAGTTATTTTTTTTGCAAGGCCAGTAATCCGCCTACCATGGTGTCTTTGTAAAGCTGGGTCAGCCAAGACAAACAGCAGCCCCTCAGTAATCTCC